TCTTTGTTGTTCTGGAAGATTTTCTAGATTCAAAAGTTGCTATGTGCTTGATTTCTGACAGGACAACTCACCTTCAAAGATAAAATTGTGTAAATATGTGATGGCTAAAAAGGAAGGTCAACTGATAGCATATTAACTTGCCAACCTTCTTTTCTATTTGCATAAATCTTCATTTGTCTATGTTGACAGAACTTGATCAATTATTAGAAGATGCTCCCTCGCCATTTATCATGCAACACGCTGCGAGAATTTCTAGCGTTAGAAAGAGAATTTCATCACTGAACACCCTTCTGAAATCTATACAACGGCGTTTGGACAATATAGACCGAATTCTATCAGTGGGCATGGCACATGGTATTGCTTTTCTTTGGCTTGCATGTCCAGTTTTCTTTTCTTTCCTTTTTCCTAATATCTATTTGTGAGAAAACGTATTTGTCCTTGATATCTCTTTAAGTTATGAAGTCATTTAGTACTTAGATTTAGTTTTCCGCCAAATCAATATATATGGTGTTTTCAGCAGCATGACCAATGATGACAACTGAAACATTATCTAGAAATTGTTGTTGTGATAATCTTGTCGTACCTAAGCCAGCAGCAAGTAATATAGGATATTCGTTATGGTTCTTTCTGAAAAAATGTATGTTTAGCGGGTTTCATCTGTTGGTATTATTGTAGATAGCTTCCTGCCCCCTTTCTGTAGCGTGCAAAATCTTTATTGTCATGAATGTATAAACAACATTGAGTAAAAGCATGGAATTGAGCATCAAATTACTTGAGAATGCATTGCAACGAGTTGAGCAAATCTGAAAAGTGGAAGTCATAGAATGACTAATTGTTATCTGGAATTTGAAGCAATCCAACTTCTATTTCATTATGCGAGATACTTAAGATTAAAACCTCAATTGTCATGATATATATGTATTTTATTTGCTGTTGCTATCGTGTGTGTATTATTGACGTAATTGATACTTTGATGTCATCGCAGATAAGACAACAACAGAAAGTTCCTGACAATATTGGCATTGATTGCGCCGGAGAAGTAACAAAGGAAAACCGGAGGCTGTTCTTGCTTCTTTTTCTTTTTTCGAAACATGATTTACGGGATCATGATTCTTGTTGGGATGATAGATGATGTACTTTTTAGAAGCCCTTTTTTGAATTAGTGTTACCTTTGGTATACAACCTCTGCAAATTTAGTACCACCATGTTATATCATACATATTTTACTCGAAATAAAGATATTTAATTTTGGATAATTCAACCATCTAATTTTGTTGTTTCATATATATACATATATGTTTGAAAATTTAATATCCTAAACGAATTCATTGACTAACTCCTAATTTAACTAAGCAAAACTTTCATTAACATTATCAAACCAGGAATTTCCTAAGAAGAGAAATTTTGAGTTAATTAAATTAGTAATTCTCCACATTAACTTATATTATCAATTATTAACCGAATAATTATCTAAATTCTCGATCAATTATACTGATTTAACTTGAGAGTAAACAGTTCATAAATTCAATTTATATTCCTGATCAAATTTACTAAAATTAAATAGTTATAGATTAGGGTAAATTAAGACTTTAGGTATAATTTACTCACTATTATTGCTGTCTTATGTGTGATTTTGGTATAAGTTTCCAATACCCCATAATTATAAACCAATCAAACATTGTCTTGTTTCGAATTTCACTCTCCTTCATCAATTCCCAACTGCCCCTACATTCTCAACAATCCAACTCTTTGGACTCAGATTCAAACCAGAATTACAACAATCAATCAAAAAATCAACCCACAAAAAGAAAAAAATGAACAAATAAAACAAAACAAAACCAACCTTCACCTTCTTGATCTTGTTCTTGCCTGGTTTTCCACCTCGGTGATGATCCAGGCAAGCATGAAAACCATTTGGGTTTAGGTGGTTTTATTAGATTAAAAATTTTTAGAGGAAAAAAATTAGACCCAGAAAAAAAGATTGGAAGAGAAAGAAAAAAAAGAAACAAGTTGGTGATTCTGATAGTTTCTGGCTTACAGGGAAACCTTGTTCTGGCTTCTGGAAATCTCTCTTGTTTTCCTGTAAGCCGGAGAGGAATTTCTCCCTGGCCATATTCTCTGAACGAACAACCATGGGTGATAACAGCAGATTCTTGTTTTATTTTACTATGTTTTACGTTGTTTTGAATGTTGTTGAGGCGGCGGCGGCGGTGGCGTCAAGCCACGATTTGGTTCTGAGTTGTGGAGGCATGTCTCCTGGTTGAAGATCTTGATGGAAGAAAT